ATGGGCTCTGCCCATGCTCGCCGTCAGAACCGGCGAGACTTGGAGGTTTTGGTGTCATTGACTCAGGGCTCATTGAGCAAGGAAATTGTTGTTCCAACAAATGGAGTTGCAGTGTCTAACGGACACGCGAGCCTCGTTGAGGCAATGATCGATTGGAACTGTGAATGATCTCAATCTTAATGGGGGAGGGTGTAACACGAACACGCGAGCCTCGTTGAGGCAATGATCGATTGGAACTGTAAATGATCTCAATCTTAATGGGGGAGGGTGTTACGGGGTTACACGTATCCTGGTAACATGGGTGTGTGTCACACAAGATGTGCATGGTGTGACTGCACCTAAACAAGAATACGATATATGGCTAGGTAGCCATTAGTTATGCATATTTAAAATTTACTACATATATTTAGTATATTTAGGAAATTTAAACTTTTAAAATCAGGATAAAAACATAAATAAAAATCAGTTTCAATTTTGAGCGAAAGAGTCTCTTTACCTTGGTTGGAGTTTTAAGCACCCTTGGAGGCAGCAGATTGCGACCCGCTGCGCTCGTACTTGGATCTTGTAAAGAACGAGAGATCGGTGACCTAAAGACGCTTCCTCAAACGCGAAGCTTTTGCAGCCCCGCTGCAACCTGCCTCTAAAATGTGCGTACCATCAAGGGATGAGAAACCAAGATTACGAAACAACAGTCAGAATGAGATGATATCGCATAGTTCAAAGCAAGTTTTTACACTATGGGGACGCTAGACGAGATGACGACTTGCGAAACAACTCATCGATGGCTGTATTGTGAAAGCACAAATCGTTCTCCAGTTTGCCCGAATTGCGATTTCGAAGATTGAGATCTGCAAAGCAAACAAGCAGACAATGGCAAATAAAAGAACAACATAGTCTATGTAGTCGGTGATCTTGTATTACTTAGTACGACAAATTTGTGTAACAAGCAGTGTCCAACTTGAAAATTGAAGATCTCACCAAGTTTCACTGTACGTTTAAGGTGTTACAACGGTATGGTGATGCTTTTACCCTTGCCATATTTGCAAATGTGTCACATTCTGCATATACTATGTGGGTTGTCTAAAGTCGTGTCTCCCGATTGGATCTGCCGATCCCACTCTACCTATGGTAAATGACGTAACTGATCATGAAGTTTCTACACTCGAACGCGAAGGGCAATCAGTTTTTCCCCAAGAGATTCTTTCCCGGCGTATAAGTATCGATGGAATCGAAGAATTGCTTTAAGAATTTCAGCGCTTGAAGGCAGAAATGATACTCACCATGGAGAACCTCGAGAACATAACCTGGCTCTCAACAGAGCGCAACAGGTGTTGGTAAGAAAGCTCACAAGACTTCTGATCCATCCGAATTCGAACGATTTAGCCATGAATATGCTGAAGCCAAAGTTTAGAGCGGGAGTCCAAAGCCAAGCATTGGGCGAGATAATTTGTCAAATCAACGAGTTTCGAGTTTATCTCGGCAACAAGGGTATAAAGGTTCGTGCTGCGATTTTTGGGCGTCGATCGAGGATGCAATAATGCCTCAATTTAGCCCGCGAGGAACGCTCATCCACTTCAGGATTCACGCAATATCCGCTAGCAGTCTGTCGTGGAAAGAGTCGCTGGATGTTCGAGCTAATAACGCTTCTACAGAATTCTGGTGGTGCGGCTGCAAATCGGTCTCGTACACGTGAGAAACGTTGCAGGCTTTAGAGTCAGGTGTCCTGACGTACTCTGCAGCAGCAGGAATTGCTCGTTGTAGCAACGCTACGAAGACCAATGCTGGATATGCTCCTTTGTGTTTCGGGACCGCTGCCAGCGCCGACTCGGTGGAGAAGTCGTCATATCTTACTATCACTATAAACGTAAACAAATGGTTGCCTGGGATCCACTCAGCGCGAAAAGTAAATCAAATCATCACGATTGGTGATCGAAAAACGTTCATGTTTGCGGCATAGGCGCAAGTCTCGCATGGTAATGGAATCATATGGATAACTCGCAACTTTCTGTTGATTTGGCGTGAGCGGTGCGCCTGATGCATGGCTGTGTTTGAAAAAGGCATTTTATAAAAAGAGCATATTCAACAAGCGTTTCTTGAATCGAGTTTTTTTTCGATAGTGATGGATGAAGGTGATACTGTGCTGCAACACATTACTAAGATGAATCAACTACTGGTCAGAGCTTTATTTAGCGGAGATAACTCGGTGATTTCGCGTCTGGTCAGTTTGACAAACTCTTCAACGTTCTCGGCCCAGCATATAAATCAGAAGCCAATTCTTTGATGCGTGAACTTGTGACACATCGACTGCTTAATAGGATATGAAGTGTGCCAGGAACATGGTGGTGACATTGATAGAGCCACACAGGGACAAGTTTTAGCTTTTATCACGACTGACAACCCGCGTAGCAAGGGAATAACAGCGCCAGCAAAGACAGGTAGGGCATGTCATTAGTGTAAAAAGCAACGGCATCAAATTGCCAAATGCCCTGTGCGTCATTAGTGGTCACAGCAAACGAATATTCTCATGACTGAGGTGATGGTTTTCTGCTTTTGATTTCTGGTGCTGCGTGTGGCGTGAAGTCAATTTGCGTTGGTGAACAAGTCTGACACAGAAAATGACAAACTTACAGAGTACATGAAGGACTACACGAAATTTCTCCAGTCGACGATCATCTCGTAATGTCAGGCAAATGAAACTGGGAACACTGTGATATCGATTACGACTCCACATGGACCATAAAAGTGCAGCACATTTAAAATCTTTCACGCAACCTGTTTTCTTGGATGCTTTATATAAGACGTTGGGCCGGTCACGTTTGAAAGTGAGGATTATCTTGCGAGTGCCAAAGGGTTGAATGAAAACATGGAGTCCGTGATGGTGACAGCTGTAAAAGCTGTGCATGACACCACTTTTCGTTGACGATGCCAATGTAACAAGTTCGTGTATATATCATGGGAACACCACGTCGTACCTATGACACCTTCGACTCGGACACATTAGCCATGGTGAACTCGTCACTACAATCAAACGAAACTATGATATTGGCTTCAAGCATACTTTCGTATTTTTTAGCAGTGGAAATAATGTAATGGATGTGGACTTGGCAAGCAAACGAGAGTCAATTTCTCCAAGACCGCCACATATTGTAAAGAAACTTTCGGAAGTGTTTATAGCGATCTGTGTGACCCAGTGGTAAACACTCCTTGTAAGATGTTCTGTCGAGTACTTGTGCTTCAACACGGTCTATTTGCAACGAAAAACGTCGGAAGTTGTCGAAAAGGTTTGCGCAAATTGTAGTACTTACCGAGACCTAGGCAGGTAAAATATTTCAAACTCTTTGTAGTGATGACGGTGACGAGTACACGTGGCCGAGTTCTAGAAGTACCGCGCTACCGATTAAAAGTCCACGCCTCCATAAATCAAAAATCTAAGGGTGTAGCCGAGCGTATAAACCGTATCCTGGCGGGACATGAGCAGTAAAGAATTCCGCTTTGAAGAGATTGAGAGCGATTGTGTGCTCATTAATAGGCGTGAAGGTGAAAGAAGTCCGTTCTTAACAACGACCACGTAAGAGGTGATAATGACTAAGGAGTTGTCCAAAAAGCCGTGTATCGTCAGAATTCGAGCCTGAAGCAAGTGCCATAGGCAAACACAGTTGCTAAAAGGAGAGATTCAATAATATTTAGCTTAATAACAGCGTCGGATGTTGTCACTGGATAGTAAGTCGGTGGTTTCACGGGGGGATCGAGATAACGAAGCGGTCCTTATAGAGGAAATACAAGTGACTCAGAAATAAACTTGCTAGACGAAAACAACATATAGTCGCTAATTCCGTTTTCTGATGAAACGGAGACAATAGGGTATTCCGATCTTGGAGGACTAGACTGTAGAGGTCGAGAAGATAACCCCACAACAGCATGAATAATGTTTGCCCCCGTTTCAAATTTATCTTCGGTTTATTTAGGCCTGACAGCAAAATACAGGTTTACGGCTCACCAATTCGATGTCATCACGGTTTTTCTAAATCTCCACAATTTCTTGGTTAGAGAAAACGTGTGACGATGGCCGCATGCACAGCGAGTCAATGGCAACGTGTCTTACCGTAATGGAGTTTGCTGTTGCTCATATCTTATGCATTTAGACTGCTAAATGATTTTACAATGAGAATCTCTATGACATAGTTGGAGTAATTTTTAGATTAGCAAACCTACAAAAAGAGCTATTATAACAAAACCAAGCTCGTTTGGTCATATGCTCTCAACGTAATAGGATTTCTTATACTAACAGTGAGTAGCTTGGATGCGCGAAGAGATGTCGAGAGTCGTCGAGATTCGTTGTAATCCGTAGCTCCATTCTCGAAAGTAGAATCATTTTGAGCAAGACAATTGGCCATTTTATAATCGATTCGTTGAACAGATGACATACGTGAAAATTCACCTGTTGATAGGACAATTCATTTTGATTTGAGAAGCAGAATTATCATTTTACTAAACAATCGAAAGGCATAACGTAAGTTTCCTCAACACTACCTACAGCAAAATCGACGTGGCAGTCGTTAAGTACCAACGCCATCAAACGTTTGTTCTTGTGTGTATATGAGGGAGCCGAAACTTGCCAATTTGCTACACTTAACTAGCAGTTTCTCGTTGGGGCTTTCACTGCGGTAATAAATTCAACCGTTCGCCATCTCACAACTTTTATGAGAGGTGAAGGAAGTCAAGATTCTTGTTTTTAATCTGTTTGGAGAATTATATATATCAAATTTTATACAAAAATATTTTTTTCAAGCATGTTCTCGAAATTTCTTTTCTATAAGTCCATATTAAGACGTTGGGGAATAATCAAAGACTACGGAAATCGGTGCTTCTGAGTGGCATCTGCGTAAAACGCGGTTACATGATAACCACATTAAGAAGCAACTTATCATTTCCATTCCCTATCCTTTGCTGACTTTAAAACGCACATGCAAGTCATTCCGAATATTTGATACTAGTCACTCCATTTTTTGCATTAATATAATCCTGACTTTTGTGATAAAACTTTTAATTTTTCTTCTGTAAACATGTACA